TGGCCGTCGCGATCCTGTTAACCGTATGTTTTGTTTTGTAACAACCAAAATGTGTAACAACATAGTCATCTTGCCCTGATATTGAGTTCAGTAGCACAAGGTAAGAAGACCACGTATAAAATACGTATCCGGATTAGTAGTTCTCTAGAGTCTCCGCGAGAGATCTACACAGTTCTCCTGCTGGACTTTAATTATGAGCCAACTTTACCTCTATATGCTCTATTTCAATCATTTTATCAGTGAAAATTACTACCAGAAACAGAAAGTGAAAATTACTACAGAAACTACCATATCATACACTTGTAAAAAATGTCATTCTAGCTAACATTCTAGTAACACATCGCTTTTAATTTTATTCAGTCACGATGGAGAATATTAATAAAAAATTTCGAGAGGCTTGAAAATTTACTTTGCTATTACCAAATCAGTATTTTCTATTTCTTAACTGTAATATTATTTTGATTTTAATGGAACTCAGGGAGAATCTTATTTATGTTCTAAAAGGACCGTTTTGCAATTTTGTATTTACTATTCCTCTCAAGATACTAAAAATACTAAAAAAAGCACACAAGTCTCTTCTATGTTTTTATCGTTGATAGCAAGATTCCTCGGATTTCCTTTGCAAATGCGTACCCCGAGAGTCTTCGATTTTCACGTTCCAATTGAAGCGAGCGAACTTAATTATTCGTCGCGTACAATTAAATAGTTAAATATTCCTCTCGAGCCTCTCTTCACAATTCCATCAACCTAATGGCGAAGTTGCGACTGCGAATATTTTCTTATATCGCTACGTACTCCCGCTTAGAACACTCCACGCAGTTTCGCTCGACTAATAAATATACACTCGCGCTAAGTTTCTTCTTGCACTTGCTCGCGATATATGCGGAACTTAAAGATGGTCACAGATCGCTGCCGGCTATATTGTCGAAGTTTCGCAACGAATAAATAAGGGGAGGAAGCGAGGGAAGGAAGGAAGTGCGCGACGCGAAGCGCGCGTGTGCGAATAATAATGCGACGTAATGGCACGATAAATTTTTTCGCTCGGCGCGCTCATAATCGAGATCGACTTTATTCGCACGCCGTCGTAACAGTGAGACGCGATTTATTATCTGGCAGTTGTAGCAATCACTTCATCGCGAACCCCTTCAATTTGGCAGAAACATTTCATTCTGCGATGACAAACACGGTGCCAAATGAAGCGCAAAATCGGACAATTCCGGGATCCGAAATCGCATTTTAAAGCAGCTGTATCGCTGAATATATCTTTAGGGATTCAAAAGGTTCAAATATCGTAGTAGTTTTTCGTAAAAATAGTTTAGAAGATATTAAAAAGGGAAATTAAAAATAGCACGCTAGTCTCAAGGAACACGTGTAAAAAGTGCCAAATTGCAAATATATTTTCTCCCAAGTGATCAATCTTTTTCTAACCGCACGAGCAGTTAGATGATATGTGCGTGCGAGTTTTATCGAATTCTCACAGGAAACTCGTTTCATGATACAAGCATCTTAACACTTTGGTATACTCCCACATACCGGAACGTCGAATCCACGCTTAAGGGTTGGTGGCGAATGCTCGCGGATCACGAGAGAATTTATCCACAAAGTTCTCGGCGACAAAAGGAACAGAACCGCGCTGCTCAGGAAAGAAACGTCGGCGAGCGAGTTTACAGTAATAACAGCATAACATAATATTTCGCTAGAGGGAACGCAGTCGTCGCCGGATTCATTTAAGTCTAATAGGATTATCCTTAATCCCGCGGTCCCGCCACGGCTTCTTCGTATCCTTTTCTTCGTCGACCGCCGAGAGTTCAAAGTTCCAAGGGATAGGAGCAGCCCGTTAAATGAGTCTCGACCGCAGTCTTCGTGCTGAATAATGTATACGTGTCTCGATATTTTTATACGGAGCCGGGAATCTCACTTTCGGCCATTTTTCTTGTTCCCTTTGAAGAGGTAACGGTGAATTATTAAATCTATTCCGAGGGCCTGCGTCGAGAGTCACGAAGTCACGGAGAATACACACTTTCGGATCAGGAATGACGCATCAGGAGTGACGCTATCAATATGAAAATATCATGGCTGAGCATGTACTGTTTACTTAGGCAAAAGAATGTACGCAAAATGGCTTACACTCCTTTTATCGAATGAAATTTTCCCCGATTCAACTTATCACAATTGCGAGTCACTGCTGACGTACATTCAACACACTTTGAGGGTGCATTCAACACACTTTGGGGGTGCGATCCATCGTAAGGATTTGCAGACGTTGCAAATACTTCGAGCGTAATATGGACCAAGTACGACTTTTCTCTAAGCGCTTCAAAGTGTTTGCAACATCTAATGAATCGCACTCTCTTTAGGTCAAATTATCTTATATTTTATAGAATATGTAAAAATTATTTAAATAATATTTTTTACTTTAGAATATAAATTCTTCTTTCCAAATTTATTTTCCTACTTCGGCTCTTGTAATAACCGATTACTATGCATGCGCATCAGCAGTAGTTTTTAAGGTGGTTGCATCATGAGACGAGCTTCGTGAGAATTTTGATGAAATCTGGTGAAACGCGCACTACACAGTGAGCGAGCGTAGGAAAATTTGCGGTAAAGGAAAAGTTACGGTAACTGAGTCACACGGATATTTCGGCTCACACGTACTTATTTTGTTTGCTTATTTACTTATTCATTGACAGTTTGCAATAAATTAACGCAGCGAACTCTTTCAAAGACGTTGCTTCAGTTGGCTGCAAACGTCACGATTCCAGCGCAAGCTGCTACGAAGCCAAATTTGAAGAAATTGCAGCGGGAAAATACCCGACATATATTAAGAAAAAAATACTTGAAAATTTATTTGTGGGTTTTCCGAACGAAAAAGACTTATTTATGATGAAGTTTATTCACAGAAATAAATTCTATTTCGCAGAAATGAACTTTGTATCCCACAAATAAATTTTCAAGTATATATGTCTTGTGGCTTAACTCTTCCCACATCACTAATTACACCTTCCCACGCAGATGTTCTTACGCGCTATACTTTCTCACGCGCGATTCCTCATTTTTTCCGTCTCGTGGAATGAAAAGACAAGACGCATGACTCTTCGTTTGCGCCTTTATCACTCGCTGTTACCGCGCACGGCTCTCCTCTCGCGACGATGTGGCTCCTGTATCTCCGGGCTTCGCATGCACTTGCTTCCGGGAGGAGGAGGAAGACTGCGCAATACCTGTAAGTAAAGACGAATGGTAACCATGTGCAGATACGACGCGCCATAAAAGGAGAATGAGGCTTCGTTATGTCAAGCGAGCGCGGGCCGGGTTTGTAACGGGAAGCCCTTTCGCAATTTATCGTATGTGTAATAGGGAACCGAAGGGTTTTCAAGGCGGGGTAATTTACGGTACACTTTGTAAAGGCCGATGCACGGCGCATGCACGGCACACAGACACACATGTACGCACACACGACGCGGCTTGCGCATTAAACGAGTGCTTGTCCCTGCTTTCTAAATTAAAATGTACAAGCTTGACAGTATATCTACGTGCGCGAGCGTGTTACTACACGTTTTTTGCTACTTCAGCGTACTCTACTTTGTGCCGCGTCGGCGGAGCACCGGCGCAATGAAAGTGGATATAACGCTGGCATTAATTAAAATCATTGCATAACATTCGTCGAGTGTCCTTGATGGCGCGCGCGCGCGCTAAAGCACCCACCCTCGCTCGTCGCGTTTCTTTTCGCCTGGGGAAGGTCTAGTGCGTTAATCCCGCACGTGGGGATATTAAAACTGAGGACGGATTGCGTCAATTAGTGGGCATTCGCGATACGTCACGCTCGCTATGACGCTGTCAATTAAAAAGTTGCAAATCCTTTGCGCGCGCGCGTTACCGTTTGTTCGCTGTTCCGACATGGTGGATTTCGCTGGAACTTGATGAGAGCCTCTTTACGGGAGAATTAGAATAATGTACACGTAAGTGCGTAAGAAGCTAAAAGTATTAACTCTCGGTCGCGTATGTACGAAAGGTCGAGCGGTAATATGTTAGAGAATTGAAAGCGGTAATATGTTTGTAAATTGAAAGACGCAGAATAGGTAAAACGTTCGGCACTCGACGTGTTTTCAAGACTCTTGCGCGGATTTTATGAAATGTCATGGTATATGGGAACTTATTTATTACAAATTAATTATTATCGAATTATTATAATTATTTTTAATTATTGTTTAATTCCCATATATTTTAGAATCTGATTTTAGTATCTGAACTCCTGTGCTCCTACTCTATCTAACCTAACCCGATCTATGACGCTGTGACATTGGCACAGTACGTTATCAAGAGATCTATCCCTACGGCCAAAGGGGTCGTCCGTTATTTTTTTGTGTGAGTTCTAGAACGCATACGTCTTGTCCAATTCTCCCATTGGAAAACAAATTCTGCCATTGGACAAGACGTATGCGTTTCAGAATGGGATGGCAAAATAACGGATAACCTATCTGACCGCGAGTATATGCATGAATAAATGTACATTTTTTAGCCGCGCACATGTACAGTTCCTACATACACATCAGCAAATTGTGTCGATGCTTTCAGCATGCGTCATGTTTTCCAAACTTCTTCCGTTAACTTCTTTTAACAATGAACGACAGCTGAAGCTTCTTGAATGTTGCTCAGGTCAATGATCTCGACAACATATGTCAAAATCATTGACTCTTGATCTTTTGTCTTGTTTATCAATGTTTACCAAGAACTCTGTGTGATATCAATGCCGCGCGCGTTGCTCTGAGATGTCGGTGAGAAAAATTCGAATCGCATGCCACGTTAAATACGAGATGCCACTCGAATTTTCCGGCTCGAACGCGGCCGAAATCGCGTGCGCGCGCGGCGACGGTAAGTAGGTAAATAGGTAGGTTGCGCGGCAACGCGCGCATGGCTACCTCTGCGGGTCGGATGTGCGCGTAATCTCGTCACGACACGGTCATTCAATTGCTTCGGCTACCGCATGATATTTGTCCGAACATGACTTCCAGGTTATGAGAGTACAGCGCCAGTGGCAGACATAATGGGTCCCCGGGAGCAAAGGGTGCCGTCGGGTTCGACGATCACCCTGAGATGCGTCATATTGTCGCCGTATCAGACCCGTCCCATCAGGGGTGTACAATGGCTTCGGGATAACAAACTCCTAACATTCCAGGTAATGCAGCCTCAGCTGGATACGCGGGACGCTCTAATGAAATTTCTGTTTGACGACCGGGAATCGGAAGGACGGGGAAAAAGGGGCGCTCGTATATCATCGCCCCCGACACGCCGGCGATATGGGTCATATGGCCCCTACCTAGCGTGTCTTCCACATTTTTGTTTGCGTGTTAGCCTGCGTCGGCTGTTTCTTTCGCGCGATACGCGAACGACCAGCCGATGGCTGGAGGCTGCTTGATCGATCCCACTAGTCGACGCGGTTTTGTCGGCTGCGCGATTATATCCCGGCGCTTGATACACGCGGCGTTCCTCCGGACGCGAACGTCCGCTCTCGAGACTCACGGTTTCTTCTTCATGGTTTCGGAGACGAGATGTATCTCTTTTCGTTATTTATCGCTTTTAGACAATATCTGCTGGAGCAATGTGTGCTCTACGCGTTCTAGAACGCGGAACAGGCGGTCACAGTGTGCGGAATGTTGACAATACGAGAGCATAAACCCAGACAGACCTTCATAACAATCACAACGTGAGACAGTTGATGATTGGAAACTTTGCAATTCCTTTAATTACACTTGTGAACTAAATCTACTGTATATTGAAGCAGTTATTCAATTTACAATAATGTAAATTTTTTGTTATACTGATGCAGCAACAAATTTGCTAAAAGTTGTTCTAAAGAAGAGCAACATAAGTAGAGAGAAACATAATTTAACTTTCCTTGACTCACGTGATTTTCTAACACGCAAAAACTCGTGCTCGATCTGTGACACCGATATTTAATTGATGGAATTGGCAGAGTGACAGAGTGAGTCACTTAACGTTAGATTCTACAACATCTTTGTTGTAAAATATATCTGTCTATATTAGAGGAAAATGTGTTAGGAATAAATTGTTGTGGCTGGAAGAGATAAAACACACAATTATAATTTATGACATACACATAAATTGTGACATATATGACACACACAATTGATTTCTTACACATTTTTCTCTAATATAAAAAACAACAGAGATGCTTTAGAATCTAACGTTAAGTGACTCACTTTGTACAAGTTTAATTTTAGCATGAACGTTGGTTTTTAGTTAAAGTGCTGGCGCACAATAATGTTTCTAGTTTCAGGATAGCATCGATTTTGTGTCTGGTCGGTCTGAGAGACCGATATATGACAGTCAAGGAAGGTTAAGTGAAGATATAAGTCCAGCGATGAAGCGTAATACAAAACACGGGAGACGGAAGCAAAACGCACGTTCTCTCCAATTTTTCCTTATACTTGGGAGAGCGCTCTTACCTCGTATCTTTATCATAAGACATTTCTAAGTTCTTCTTACGACCTCCTTCAACTTTACTTTACGAGGCTCAAGTGAGATTTGCTTCTACATCCCACAAATATACAAAAAAGTGGGATTTGCTTCTACGTCCCACAAATATATAAAATTTTCTGTTACCTACTTCATCGCCGAGTTCACTCGCTTGCTCTTGATCCAGGCAGCGCGCGGAGGGATAAACGTGGAGACTGAAAGGGGTGCAGCACGTACGGTGTCTGTGTTGACTTTGGCGGCGGTGACGCAAGATGACGTCGGGAACTACTCATGCAGGCCGACGGAGGGTCGATCAGCCACTGTCATCTTAGTCGTTGAGGAAGGTTAGTCTCAGTCATTCGCCATTTGTGTTGATCTATCGTAACGAGAAAAGAAACCGGTCCTGTCCGCAAACAATTTATCTATAAAAATACAAGATAAAATTATCAGTGTCTGGATATACGTATCTAACTTTGGACATTCTTATTTTATTAATCTTTGTGTCTTACTTTTATACGTAGAATGTGATTAGAGAAATTAATTTGTGTTAGAAAAGCCATATGATTTCATTGAAAGAATTTTTTAAATCTATATCTCCACTCAAAAAAGAATCGTTATCACCATGTGATGTTTTCTTCGAAATCATCAGATCGTACTCATATTTTTACTTTGCATACAAAAAACAAAAAAAAAAATTATTCTAGAACTGCCGACGATCAACGACTTATCAAAATAAGGAGTTTTTGGAAAAAAATATGTAATGTTCTAATGTCAATAATTCTGGATCTCTCCTCTCAATTCTGTCTCTATATCGAGAGAAGAAAGTAGTTAAATGTGTGCTCACTTTAGAGAAAAGCAGAGTCTCCTTTTATCTAAAACAATTTTGGACGGAATAAAGGAAGAGTTCTCAGGTAACAGTACGGAGCAAGACAATGGAAAGTGAAATAGAAGTATGTTGGATATTTCGCGGTACATATAACGATGTAATAACAGTACACTCACGTGTCTCGCATTCTTCCGGGAAATCTCGCTGTCGTCGGATGTGCCACGAGCGTAGCCGGAAGTCCTCCGCGGGCGCACCGATATTCCATTTCCTTCTGCGCTCGCGTGTATCCTCCGCGGGGTACAACCATGATGTAAAGTCGTGCCTTAGGATTACTCGAAACACTTTAAAGTTTTAAAGAGGCGGCGGTATTTCACGCTGGAGCTATTTGTCTAGCTCAGCCCCTCGGTCGCCACGGCAAGGATGAAAAGGAGCGGAAGGGGGCGCAAGAACGAGGAGGAGAAGGGGGACAGGGGGGTTGGGGAAAAGACGGAAGACCGCTCGGGCGCGTGTACTCTTGGACGAGGCGAGGGGAAGGGAAAGCGCGTCCGAGGGACGAAGGAACGGATCGCGGAAGGAGAGAAATTGCGGTTCACAGGTAGAACGACGGTGACGAAGAAGAAGTAGAGTTTGAGAGAAAGGAAGAAACTTGCGGAGAAAAGCGGAGATGTATAAACGCGGAGAGATTCCTCGCGTTTCCCCTTTTTCCCGTTTAACCTTCGTCGCACGTCCTATTCCGTTTTTTTCCTCCCCTCTTGAAAATTGAAGGAATAAGTGCGGAATTACATACGAAGAGAGAAAAGGAAAAATAAGACAGCTCGAGGTACAATCGATAAAGCGACAGTAAGAGGAAGAAAATACGACAAGATGGCTTCCAACTCTCTTTTCCTCCCTCCCTCTCTCTCTCTCTCTCTCTCTCTCTCTCTCTCTCTCTCTCTCTCTCTCTCTTTGAGTTTCTCTGTATTTCTCTAGACTCTCCCAGAACATAGATTTTTAACACGTCTTTGCTGCGGAGCGGAGATTGGGACGCGAATTCTCTCGTTATCTCGTACCCTTTCGAGAAGTCGAGCGTGTTTCGACTCTCCTTGGCCGCACGATCGACGATCGGCCTGCGACGCAGGCTGAGAGGGAAGTAATGTAACGAAGTGAAAGTGCGAAAATTACGGAGACATCGGTGGAAGCGAGGAGTGTGTGAGTGTGTGAGAACGTGCCGGCTGAGGCGAAACGAATGGCACGGAAGAGGATGAGAACCCGCGAAGGAGCAGCCGAGCTGGCAAGCGAAGAGACCGGAGAATCGCGGGGAATTCACGTGGTAGTCTCTATTATCGTGAATTTCCCTTCGGAGGTTATTGCAAGGAAGCGCCGTGCGAGTCGCGCGCGTTGGCGGCGTGGTCGTCGTCGTCGTCGTCGCATTTTTCCCGGGCGAGCTTGCACGCGCGCGTGTGCGCCCTCTCTTCGCGCTATCTGTCCCCGTGTCTATCCGCGCGAAACGCGCCCCCTGCGGCCATAAATCAGAACTTAGGTGACTCGCGCGGCCTCGTAGATTGCGGATTTACGCGGTTTACGCCCGCGCCCGAAGGAAGCGCCGTCCGCGCGTAACTAAGCGAAGTGCATCGGCCGATTTTTACGAGCGTGTATCGACGTAAATATCGCGAGAGGCATGGAAGTGAATATCGCGCAGGGGCTGACACACATATAACGGCGGATCGGGGGCACGCCACGGTAGCGCACGCTCTGCCGAGTGTGAAATAATAATGTCATTTATCCTGGGTTTCGCTCACTCTCCTCTTCCCTCCTCTTCCCCTGCTCCTCCTCCCCCGCCCTTTCTCCCATCTCGGTCAGCGGCGCATCGCGCTTTTCGGAAATTGTCGCTCGCCGAAAATTTCACGGCAAACGGTCTCACGAAGCTACGGGGATTGCAACAAATAATTCGCGAGCAACACGGCATTACATGCTGCGTTCAAGTAAATGTCACTTTTTCCAAATATTTCCTCTGCACAAATAAAACAGTACGATTAGCCCACACATATAAATCTGGTTGTGCCGACCAGTGGGCCGACTTCATATTTATGCTGTTTTCTTCATGTAAGTTTAGACAGAGTGTCCCGGAAGAACCTTCGAAGCTCTCGTGAAAGTATAGTACGGATTAAGGTAAACATAAAAGTTCTATATCATTTTACGATATTCGCAATAATTATCGAGGTATTAATTAAAGTATATTTTTGTATGATTATGCGAAGTAGATGAGTTGCAGTGGCGATATTTGCTGTCGTATGCTTATACATTAGATCAAACTGAACAAAAAAGCCTCTTACCTTTTTCAATAATTTAGTTATTAATTAGATAACATTATCACAAGCGATTATTCGCCAATTTTTTCTTTAAATAATAATTTAATAATTAAATTAAATATTTTTAATAATTTAATAATTTAATAAAATTTTATAAAATTAAAAATTTAATAATTTAATAACAAATTAATAATTAATAAATTAGCTTATATATTATATATACGCAAAGTTAAATTTACCATAAACTTATCACGGAGACGGTACACTAGTTGCATTCGGTTTGTTAGAATCGAGACAACTTTCTCTCCAACAATGTTTTATAATATTCTTGAAAAGAGAGTAAATTCTTTTTCTGGATGCGTGATAATAAGCTTTTTAAAAGTTTGCGCATTTAGTACATTTGAAAACTGTTATTAAGAAATATATATCCTTTGTTGAAGATAACCATTACTAGAACTGAGCAATCGCTGTTTTTAGCACTAGAATAACACTCTTTTGTGTGTATGTGTGTGGTATCACATTTCGAAAATGTAAACAAAATACGCATCATGAGAGCGCTTCGTAACATGATTTCGATACACACACAAAGCCATAGAGAGGAAGAGAGTAGTGTGTTTATTGCTGCTTAATACAATAACATAAAACTGTGAGTACGCGCGCAAACACAAAAGCGTAATATTACACTTGACGCGTTGTCCGCGAAATCTCTTATTATTATTTATGCGGTCGTGAACACAGTGTATAAATACTGCAAAGTTACGGCTCCGTGTAGGATCCTCATGCACGGGGGTAAATCTCTGAGAGAATGTAGAATTAATTCGCCGCGCCGGCCCAAGCGACGCGTATAAATTGTATATTTACTCGTTACACGTCGGTATTTAACCTGACCCGTTCGCGGGATTATCGCGATACGGAAGCAAGAAACGGGCAACCGAACGGTTATTAGTTCGACTCGCTTTGCTGAAGCACAAAGTTGCGCGCGCGCATAATATGTAAACTCGTCGAGGGCCGAATGCATCGCGAAGGGACACGGAAAAATTGCGCGCGGCAGATAGAAGACCGCGTTAAATTCACTCGCACGTATCGCAGAACTGAATTTCCGCCTGATTGTGAGTCACTTTGCAATAGCACTTCGCTCACACACACACACACACACACACACACACACACACACACACACAGACACGTGCACACGTACGTGCGCGCGCACGATACATCAACCGCAGAGGCACGATACGTACTCGTATACGAGCGCGCGAGAGCCCGACGATAAATCAGAAGTCCGGCCACTCGTTTTCTAGTTTTGCAGATTGCGAATTCGCACAGTTTATCGGCACGGACGAGCTGAGTCCGAAGGAAGTGCCGCCGCGATAGGATTAAACGAGACAATGGTCATTTTTATGAGCGCGTGTGCCTAAAAAAAAAAAATAGCGGATCACGCGTAAACATGCAGCGAATTCAAACGAGACCGCCAGCGCGCAATTCGGCGGCCGCGATCGATCAAGTGGGTTGAGACGTGTCGGTAGAAGCGAGGTCGAACACAATGAAAGCATCTTCCACTTCAATTTCCTCCTTAGAGGAAACCTACTACCTGCGTGTCTGATTGCATCAAGAATTAGAGAAGTGTGATCGTACACCGTACAGAACACCTTGTTGAATAATTTTTGGTCGAATATTACACGAAAAAGGTATTTGGTTGGGATTAACGAAAGTGAAGTATGGACGAATCACTCTCTTAAAATGAATCAGTGAAACATCACTGAAAACAGTGAATGTACACTGATTTGCAGTTATAAATATTGCACTGAAAGTGCTCAGTGCTATACTTATAACTGATATTAGTGACTATTCACTGATTCACTTTAAGAAAGCAGAGTCCCGGGGTTAAAGTTAACAGAATTCTGTTCAAGTTAACAAGATTCTGATTAACCAGAACTTTTTTTTCAGATAAATTTACTCTACTTATTGAACAAAATTATATTTCTACACACTTGTTTTACTATCTATATAATAAATGACAATTTGAGACAATTTGAGACAAAGTTGAAATGGATGTATACAGAGTGTCCGACAATTAATGATATACTCCAACTTATCAAACTGAACAAACTTTCCATACCATTTTGCAAACAAGCGCATGAAATTTTGAGTTATCGATTAAAGAAGATTGGTATATGATCACGCGCAATACGTTAGATAAACTGTAATGGCAATGTTTGTCGTCGTGTAC